GGCAGGCAGGCAGCCGCCGCCTCCCAAGCAGCAGGCCCCGGGGTGGGGCGCCCGCCAGTGTTTTTCCAGCTCCCCCGGTAGCTCCGGGCCGCGTTCAGAGGCAGGGAAACTGGGCTCGGGACAAGGTCAGGGCAGCAGAGGCCCTGCCAGGCGTTTGATAGGCGGAACCAAGGCAGAAGTGGGGAGGCTGGGATGAGGCCGTCTCCTCCCCGACCACCACCATAAAAGGGCCTCGACGCCAGACGGACAGCAGCTTTGCACGCCTTGGAGAAAGAAGTCTCCTTGGTAAAACGCTGAGCGATGCAGGGTGAGGTGGCGCAGACCCTCAATCTCGGCCCTAGGGAAGCTGAGGCAGGAGGATAGCTTCGCGTACACAGCCAGTCTAGGCTCCCTAGTGAGTTCAAAGTCAGCCTGGATTATCAGGGGAGCTCTTGTCTCAAAAACAAGGAAATAAATAAAATCTCAGCATCTACTAAGCGGCCTGCAGTATACAGCAGGCGCTAAAACAGGCTGCTGCTGGCCTCCTGCTTGCTCTGCTCAGCGGGGGAGACTCAAGTGCCAGTGACTCATTCCACGCTCCAGGTGCCAAGTGCCAGAACTGAAGCTTACACAAAGGGCGCTCTCCGGGAGATGAATTCTGATTGGGAGGGAACCAGGACGGATTGCAGAGCCTTGGCACTGGGAGACCAGGTGAAAGATGAACTCAGCAGCTGGCTTAGTAGTGGGAGGGTGAGGTCCGGTTTGGGGAAACGTCAGGAAGATGAGCATGGTGCTGCCTGTCCCCTTTCAAGCGCTGTACAAATTGGCTTGGAGGTTAAAAAGAATAGGGGGAGTTAGTTGCCTGCCGGGGCTCTTGTTCTACAACCTTATAGCTCAGAGATTAGAAGTATTTGGACCTGGCTCCAGACTGCTTCAAGTTTTGAGCCCAAGGTAAATTATTTAACTTCTCTGTACCTCCACATCCCGTCTGCTTTTTAAGAGCTGCGTCCCCCTGGGTCACCCGAGTAGGTTTCAAATTCCAAGGCTCCAGTGATCCTCCTGCTTCAGCCTCAGAATAGCTGGGACTACAAGCAGGTGCCTCCCAGCAACTTTGTAGCTCTTTGTGCTGCAACTTTGTAACTTTGATGCTTCAACTCTGTGACTGTCTCATCTGCAACCTAGGACTCAGAAGGTAAAGTCTTACAGAGTTGCTGGGTGCCTTTAGCATGGCATCTGGCACTTTTACCTGGATGTATGTCAGTGGCTATGAGTCCTAAACAAGCACAGTAAAGATGTCTACCAGACCAGAAAGCCAGTGTGGCCTCTGCCCAGAAACCTCAGGGTCTGTTTACAAATGCCCCAAACCCGCTGAGAGAGGACCTTTTTGAACCAGGCACCACGGAATGAAAGGGGGAAAAGATGTGATTTTATATAAGTCATAGGAGGTGGCTCCAAGCTGAGGCAGGAGGAGGCTCACCTCATGTTCGAGGCCAGCCTGGGCTATGCATTGAGACCCTGTCTCAAAATACAAAATGAAAACAAAGACCACCACTTCGTCTCTCCACCCTGAAACATCTCTTCCCACCTCTTCTTCTTGAGCACTGCTTTTCTGAAAACAGAAAGTGACCTGTTGGTTATCAGGACTCTCTCCGCTTGGGAAGAAGCTTTCCCCACCTGATTAGCAGCTACTGAGTTAAGGAAGCTGCCCGAACCGGTCTGGCAAAACAAGACTGGCTACATAGGCAGAAAAAAAAATCTCCATTTAAAACGTCCTTTAGGAAAAGCAGTAACTTTTGCAAATATATGGATGGAGTCTGAATTCACATTTTACAAAGGTTCTTACTTTCATAAAACAAATGTACTAAAATATCAAAGAACTCATTCCATTAAGAGTCAAACATGGCTCTGGCAATGTCTACACTACTTATAAAATAAGTAGTCCAAGTAAATAACCAGAATCTAAATTAACAATAGGGCTCTACTGTAGCTATTCTATTTTGGGGTCTTTTTCCAGTTCTAAATTACATTTAGTCAAGTGCAGATCAATGCATTTTTCCCCTCAAAATTGCTAGTATGGTTTAGTAAAAGCCAACTTATTTAAGGAACAATATTTGTTTAAA